AAAAAATCCTTTCAAAGTCAAGGAGTTGTAGTGAGGAAGGAAAAATCAATAGGAGTTTGAGTTTGCCCACTTCCTCATAGATTAATTTCTAGAATTTTAAATATGTCCAGGAAGAATCTGAAATAAAAATGGAAGCAGTTGCTGTTTAATGTGTTTTGATTGGCATTCATTTTAATTTGACATTAAATATCTACCTTCTGTGGCAGAAGGTAAAATTTAACCCTGCCTCTTAACCTCTTTACCTCCACTCTCCCCCCTGCTTTTCACCAGTAATAGTGATGAGTTCTTGCCCGAGTCTTATCTGCATCCAAATAAAACAAACAAATCTTGTCTGAACTCAAACCTGGTGACAGAAATACAGTTAATTTTTATCCGAATTGTGTGATCTGAACTATTCTTTTACTGGGGTATTTCTTACTGCGAAATACTTCCGATAGAAGGAGAACAATTGAGCTGTATTCTAACACAAGTACTCAGCTGATTCAGAAGGTAATGGGATGTACTACTCCCAAAACATTGTTTAAATTTTACTGTAGGCACAAATTCTTGTTACTTAATCCAAGTTTCTCTAGCAATTTAACATGGGATAATGAAAAATATATCTATGGGTATTGCCCAGGCCAGATACAAGGAATAAGTGCTTTGTACCAGTTTAAGGAAGTTTTTTGAGAAACCTACGTTTGTCACTGTAGACATGTATGCAGATTTTTATTTTATTTTTCTTTTAACTGAAACCTATAACTGCATTTTTATTGCCGGAAAAGGAACCAGCTTGCTGAGTGGTGGAGTTGAATCTGTTCTAGTTCTGTGGCACAGTGAATCAGACTGTCAGAAGGATTTCCTTCCTCGTTTGGGATCCGCTATCGAGTACATCTCCATGTCAACTGATGGCACGCTCTGTTGCACCTTGCATACAGACAACAGTAAGCCAAAACATATTTTAAGTATCACTTAATGCAAAATGGAATGCAAATCTGTATGAGCTTTATTTTGTTAATTTCAGATTAACTAGATACTACATAGAAGTTAAATACTGATCTGAAAGAACAGATGCTTGAAGTGATCTTTTGCTCTTCCATCGGTTCTGTGAATTTGCCTGGTGACTGCTGTAACTTGGCTTTCCACCTTGATGCAGGAGTGTCATAAACTGAGAAAAGATATAGGATTAAGTACAGTTGGTTAAGGTCCCCTCCCCACCATAGGATGTGGTTACATTGCAGAAGCCTTTTGTACAGTTGGTTAAGGTCCCCTCCCCACCATAACCAGGATGTGGTTACATTGCAGAAGCCTTTCGTAAGACTTCTATCTTTTTTTCCTTTCAGGAATTACAATAATCAATAGCAACCTAAGATTTTCCAAAAGTATTCAAGGGCTAATCAAAAGTAAGTGCAGTAAAATTTATCTTCCACTTAGAGGGCAGAATGTGTCACTTCCCATCTTAGGCCATTTGTCATCTGATTTTTGTTTCCAGGTAGGGATGTCAAGACTGGTCTGGTGGTTGATCCTAGAACCAAAGCTTTGGTTCTGAACGGAGAGCCTGGCCACTTGCAGTTCTATTGTCTCCAAAGTGACCAACAGCTGTTCAGTGTAAGTTGGATGGGCTTGTACTAAAACTTACTCAATCAAGTAAGTTATGCATCAGAATTTATTTGAAGACTTAATATGGAAAACAGGAAAAAAAGCCAGCAGCTATACCACAAGAGTGGATTCTAAGTTGAGATGTTTTCAGCTTTGTTGCAGACTTTTACTTGTTAAACCTAGCTAAGTGTTGTCTAAATGTTGACAGTTGAATAAATGCTTCAAAACAGCATGCTGTTCCAATTAAATGTCAAAGATTTCTAGGTAAAATTCCTCTAAAGTATTTTTTCCTTTTTTCTGCCTTCTTTCTTACACTTAGCATTATTGTGGAATGTCCATGCCCTAATTATGTTTTCCCCACATATTTTTTTTTTTTTTATGCCACAGTGCTAATTAGTGCTTTCAGAACATGCTTTCTCCATCATTTTGTGAATGATATCTCTAAACCTGCACTTGAATTTTGAAACTTAATTTTGGTCTTGTTGTTTTGCAGTTGGATATTGTGCAACGACAGTACATTCATCAGGCAGGTTTGAAGCAAGTTGACTTGGTAAAAGTCGCGTTTAGTGCGGAAGGCAAGTGGTTAGCAACAGTAGAAGAGAGAGAAGAAGTAACTGACCCTGAGTTACAGTTGAAGCTGTGGTTCTTTGATGAAGAAACACAAAGGTAATGATAACAGAGCTGGCCTTCTAGGTGTCCAAATGTGAAGTATCACACAAATATTTACACAGATTTTGTCTTGCAGAGTTTTTCCAGATCAATTAATAAAATTCTAGGGAAGACCCTAGGGAGAGTTTACTCTGTGTGCTACACACATTTGAAACAGTGCACAGAGTTGAAGTAAATACAGATTGGAAGTAATTGTGCTGAATCTAATTTACTTAAATGAATCAGGCTATTCTAACCATGGGATTAAATTCACATATTTACCTGGTATTAAAAATCATAGACAAATGGTTCTATAGCTTGTTCAGTTTTTCCACCTGTATCTAATCCATCATTAACTGATTAATCCTTCTAGGGTACAGAAGATTACTACTTTTTTTTTCTCTTTAGCTAATATGCATTTGGTTTATACACTTTCCCTGATTTTCTTATTTACAAAATATATATATTTTTTTTTAACTATAAATTGTTATTTTCTTAAAGGAGAAACAAAGCAAAATAAAGCTGATGTATGTAGTAGCCACATGACTGGTAGTCTGGATACTGGAATGACTGCCCGGAGTTCAAAGTGAATATTTGAGAGCAATGCTTGCTTAGTGATAATCCTCTCTCAGTGCTAGGCTACAATCTCTTTTGCAGTATGGAAGCGATTAGCAAATCTGATCTGTAAATGTGATACCATTTATCTGTGTAATTACACAGAAGTTTCTTTGGTTCCTCTTCTCCCTGCCCCTTCCAGAATCACACTGGACTGAAACCTTCCATGAGTTCAAAATCAAATAAAATGTCAAGTTTTTGTTTCCTTTCCTACAGCTTTAAGCTGAATACTAGAATAAGTATGCCCCATGAGGACCACATAACAGACATGTGCTTTCGTGACATGGATGAACTGGAAGATGACTCTTTGATATTGGTAACAGCAGGCAGAGATCGCGTGTTTAAAGTCTGGGTGATGGTAGAAGACTCTGATCCAGAGGGTAGGTATGGCCAAAACATAACTCACTCTGGCTTGCTACCTTGTAGCAGGCTATAGAAATCCTGAGTCTAACATCATCCTTTCAGAACTAGGCCCTTGAGTCCCATGCATTTATCTCTTTCTGTTGTTGCATGGAGTATTTTGTTCTCCTGAGCATCCTCTGTGATGGAGTTCTCTCATAGCTTTGCAGTATTATGGATTGATACGGAAGTTGAAGCAGCAAAGACCTTGCTGAGCCTGCTGCAGAAGGGAATGGCAGCCTGTGTTGATTTGTTTAAAGGATTGTTTATGGTAACGATTTTTCCATGCTGGGAAAAAGGATTTTTGTCATTCCTCTGGGTAGTCTTTTTATTTGAGACTTCCACTCAAGGGAGCAGCACACAGAAATGTGTTACTCTGTTGTACTTCATTTAGTGTCAACTTTGTCATTCTGCAGCTCCACAACTTCAGAGTTCATTTTTTGAACATCCCGCCTTCCCATTAGATGTTTGAATGTCCTAGAATGGATATTTAGGATCCATTTCCAAGATACTTAAGTAACCAAATATATAAAAGATTTCTTGCTTCTTAATTTCCTTTTACTGAAATGTTATTGCGGTGCCAGGCACACTTAAGCGAGCTGGAGCTTTACTGCTGCTTGGTTGTCTTACCTTTTCATACTCCCAAATAGTGGTAGTGGTCTTGCTGAGCTGCTTGCAGTTCAGTAACGTGTTTGTGTTTTCATGGGCAGGTGAGAACATGTTCAAAAGTATTTTTAACTACTAAAGCTCCCATTTGGCAAAGCTGTTTGCTCCTAAACGGTGGCTGCTCATGAGAAGAAAAACAGAAGCTTGCATTCATTTACTAGGATTTATGCAGATACTTACTTAATAGCAACTCCCTCAGTGGTATCTGAAAGAGTGGTTTTGGTTTTGTTTTTCCTTTTTTGATTGTAAATTATTCTAAGCCTAGGTTATATCTTAATGAGCAGATGTTTTGATATAGAGTACAGTGTGGGTTGGGGATGAAACCTAATAGGGTCTGTTTCCTTCAACGAGATAGTTTTTTGTATCTGCTGATTGGCCTCATCAGGGGTTTTTTGTGCATATTTTTTGTTAGTTTAAGTGACTCTACAGAGTTCTGTATCACAGCATGTGTAAAAGTACAAATTAGTGCTGACTTTGGTGTATTTGCCCAGTGGGAACAGGTTAGGAATGGTCAGGTAGAGAGGGACTCAATGTGCTGCAGGCTTCTGTGCAGCAGACATTGCTAAACTAACTAGTTCCCGTGTAGAATACCCTCTGGCATGTTTTTATTTGCATCAGATCTCTCGCTGTGCCTCTAGATGGTGCCAGAGTAGTGGATAATTTCTGGGTTTTTTACAGGCAGTTCTTTTAGTCATCAACTCGTAGCCATTACACAAAGGATATCTTAGCACAGAGTGAACTTACCTTCCTTTCTTTCCTCATCCTACTCATACATTTCAAAAGCATGCTATATGAATTTATTTATACTGGGAAATGTATGTTGTGTGATAAGTACATCACTGCTTCTGTTCATTTTATGGTAATTATCAACAATGGGAAAGGTATGCCAGCTGAATGCACTGGCAAGTTAACCAACACAAGGAGACACACTGATGGGTCACTTTGTGATCCTCACACTTCATGGAAATGAACCGTGAGGTTTTGTTGGACTCAAATGCAACCTGTGTTCATATTTTTAGTCATGCTCATGTGCTTGCTACAGTTTAAAAAGAACATTATGTTTCAGAACACTAAATGTTGAATCCTTCACTATCTTGTTTTTCTTTTATCTAACATCTGCCTGTTTGAGAGCACAGTTAATGTAGTTGGCAAAGTAAACATGAATGTTGTACTATATTAGTTTTGGGATTCACAATTCAAATGCAAAACTGAGGACAAATCGAAAACCTACTGAATGCTTCTTGTACTAGAACAGGACAGGTTCTTTGTACTCTTCAAAAATGTAAGCCTTCTGAAACAAAACTACCTTGCTCTTGAGCCTATTTTGCAGCCCTGATACTTGAATTCTCCTTTCTGCATGTATAGACTTGAATTAACTGGTTTGTTTATTCAATGCAGCACAACAAAGTGTGAGCTGGAGTTGTGACTTTGTTGGCAGCTACCACAACTACGAAGCTACTAACTGCTGTTTCTCAGAAGATGGCTCTTTGCTTGCTGTTAGCTTTGAAGAAACAGTCACTGTCTGGGATTCTGTTACTTGGGATCTTAAGTGTACGTTTTGCCATCCACCTGGAAAAATAAGGTACGTTTTTTCATATGGCTTTTTATGTCTTTTTTGAACTCTCAGAACACAAAGAATCAATTCATAGTAGTCCAAGGCCTTGTATATGTTCATATAAACATTGAATTTAACGGTCTTAAATTCATATGTAGAAAAGACTCTGAAGTGGCTTCCAGGTGGTTGGTAACTTACTGTTAAAAATAATAAGATCAAGCTTTGCAGTTTCTTCATCTTATTTGCTTATGACTCCTGTGCCTCCCATACTCAAATATGTATCACTGGGCACACAATAGTGTGTTAATAGCCCTTCTCCTTTCCCCATTAATCTAGGGATTAATCAAAGTACTGAAAAAGTATAAATATGAAAGGGTTGTGCTTTATTCATGTATGTATGCATACAAATAGAAATTGTATCAATAAACCATAAAGGCATATTGACCTTATCTGTATTATTTTATATATATATCTATATCTATATCTCCTTTCTAACCTCTGTTGGAAAATCCATATTTGCCTGGCAGACTATGGAAGATGCGATAAACCTACTGTAGCATTTTCTTTCAGTGCTAAGGTTTTTCTAACTGCTTCTCAAACAAGTCATGGCTGCAGTAATGTTAGAGGTATTTCATATACCTGCTTTCAGGGAAGACCTCTCTTTTAAGAGAAAGCAAAACATTGCGTGGTCACAGTGTTTTAAAGACTCTGACACAAAGAATTACAGAAAGATACAGAGATTTCTCGCTTCCATGTTTTTGTGTGTATGTTTGTAAGCTTTTGTTTTGTGTGATCAAGTCTGTTTTGTTTACACTGGTCCTCTAAGATTAGAAATTGAGAAACATGATTCTAAAACTGGTCTGCAGGAAAATGCACGTAAGCCACATCTTTATATAGAGAAAACTTCTCTTGACAGCTTGGTATAGTGGCAAGCTTTTCCCAGGCCAGCCTTTACTATATGTTATATTAAAAGGAAATAAATTACTCTAGGACTATATTAAATGACTGTATTAATTGCATAACTTGAAAGGTCTGTGTTTTAATATAGAAATTCTGTCCCTTGCTAGCTTCTTTGAAAATACTTTAGAGCATTGGAAATCAAAAGGCTGTTGTTACTCTCAAACAAGAGAATGAAAAATTCAAAGAAGTGAAAACAAATCACACCCTTTCTTCAGTTGGAGCAGCCTATAAGAAAAACTGGGGTTTTTTTACTAATTCTCTCTTTCTAGTGCTTAGAACTTTAGTAGGAATTCTTTAAATATGGAATGTATTTTCCAGTCCCAATGTGAACACTTACTAGTACTTGTGGGTTTGTAACTTACTTAAGACCTTAAAATCACCCCTTGAAATCAGAATGTTGTAGGAACACGTAATCCTTACAGATTTATGCACACTTTTAAATCTCCCAGACCTATCTTGTTGTTGTGTGTGGCTTCATGACACTAGAAGTGAAATTAAAAAGCAAACTTCTGATTTAAATATCAGAACTAAATCTTAACTGAATGTTTTTGTGACTTGTGAATCATTGCTACATAGAGAAACAAAGATGAAATCTGAGGGTCACTAACTTGTTTTGACTTTTTACTTCTGTAGGAACATCTGCTTTGGGAGACTAACATGTTCCAAGTACCTTATTGGTGCCACTGATTATGGCTTTCTGTGTTGCTGGAACCTGCTCAGTTGTGCATGTAAGATCAGCTTAAATGTATGCCAGAGTGGTAACATTTAACACTTGAATTTACTATGAAACCTTAAACTAATTCTAGTTTGCTTCCAGATTGTTCCACTACAAAATGTCCTGTGGAAATGTAATGATTTTCACACTTCAGTCAAGATAGTATCCTGTCTAGTGTGCATGTACTTTGTGTGCACGCGCATAGTAAATTGCAAGTTAGATGATTGAGAACACAATAACATCTCTGGAAGTTGATAATATCTGTGCATTTTTATTCATCTGGGAATAAGTGAAGTTGCTTGCCTCTTCTAGAGGTTAAGGCCCTGCATGTCATTCCCATTTGACCTTTTTTTTTTGGCAAAGCAGTGGGATAGAACTGAATCCCTTCTTTTCATGTCTGGCTCTTGCTGTGTTTGCTTTTCAGTGGAATGGAGTGCCCACCTCAACATCTTAATTCTGCAACCTGATCCCCTTTCAGAACATATTGCTGCTGTCTCATGGCTCTCAAAAGATTCCAGCTGTAAGTACAAAGGCTTCTTTGACAAGTAATAGTCAATGGAATTTAAAACTGTGAAAACATAATTTCGCAGAAAGGTTTTCTTAGAATCCAGCCCTGTGAAAGCCGTAAGACAGACTTTAGTCTGTGTTTGCACCTGTGGAAAACTGAGCCATGTCTGACAGCAGCAGTCAAGTAAAGCATGTTGGCTCCCCATCCTTTCTTCCAACAGTTAGTTTGTGGTACAGGATATAGCACAGGATTAACCGTGCTCTGTAGGTGAGAGTCTTGAATGTTACTGACCCTCTCCTGTGGTTGAACTGTACAGCTGCATTTTAGAGCTGTGACTCGGATTAGTCTTCTAGAGCTACTGTTCTACAGAAACGTTAATTTCCAAGTATGTTCTCTGGGTTGGAATACTGTGGCAGGTACCTTCTGTTATGCAGTAAAGTTATCCAATTGTAATTCCTGCAAACTAGTGCTTAAAGGCAATCCTGTCCAGCCCCTAGTGGCTGTGGTACAGAGGGCTTTGACAACTATTCAGGAAGGTAAGAATTTCATGATTTAAAGAGAATATGTTCTTGGTTTTGCAGTGTTTGTGTTTAAACCAAATGATCCACGGCCAGTCTATATCCAGAGAAACCTTTGTAAAGAAAAGATCCAGCTCGCCGCCTTCGTTCCAAGAGAGGAACCTGAAATGATTGGCTCAGAAAAATACCTTTGGCTAAGAAGATCCCAACTATTTTTTCTTACCGACACACAAGTAAGAAATAGCGAGTGGCAGTTCTTCTTGGGGAAGAAGTATTTTCCTGACTGTGGTTTGATACAATTTCAGAGTTCTGCTATTGAGTGGAAGAGTTTCTTTTTGTGATTTGAAGGCAGCATAAGCCATGCTTTGTTCTTTATTAAAACCTTTCAACTGCCAAAACAGCTTAAGTTAAAAATTGATTATTTACTGGTTTTCTACTGCTAATAGTTTCTGCTGCCTCATTCATAGAAAAAACTAGATAATTTGGGAACACTGCCTATGCTGTTTAACTTCAGCGACCACCTAGAAGCTGTATTATTGCTGATTATCCAAATGTTTCATATGTTATTCAGTTTTCCCTGTAATTTGTGAGTGGGTGGTTTTTTGGTTTGTTTTCACAAAAAGTCTGTATAAAGCCTCTAGGTCCATTCCCACTTCCTTTCAATTTCTTTATAGAATAGAGGAAGAGATGTGCTTGCCTCTTCCACTTGACTGACAGAAGCTTTTGGGCCAGTCAGAAGCTTCTGTAGGCAAGGTATGGAAATATGGAAAACAGTTTTACATACTGTAACTCTGCTACATCATTCTGTATTTTAGGAGCTAATGACGCTTAGCACAAAGTCTCTAGAAGAAAGGCTTACACCATCAAGCAAACAGGTACCTCTTACAAAAGTTCTGACAGAGATGTACAGAGCAGTTAAAAATTGTTTGTGTTCAGTTTGTCAGATTCAAATTCCCTTCTGTCAGGAAGTGCATACCAGATGGAGTCACAGGCACTTCAGTGAAGGGGCAGTAATCTGCATTTTCTTTTTTTTTTTTTTTTTTTTTTGGGGGGGGGGGGGGGCAGAATTGCTGTTTGTAAAAACCTTTAAGAAAACAAGTAGCATTAGTAAGCTACTCCTTCCTTTTCTCACTTCCCCTGAACAAAAAATTTACACTTTTCTAAAAGCATTCAGGTTACATAAATGAAGCAAAACCACTTGATGTTTGAATAAGCTCTTACCTTGGTTTCTTTAACGCTTGGAACCTTGAGTGTGGCCTGAACTGTGCTTTCTGGTGAGGATGAACAGTTGTCAGTCAGTTGTGACTTACCAGTGAGAAGGAATTTCAGAATTACATTCCAGTGTGTACTTCTGTGGAGAAGTCATCTGGGAAATTCGATCTTTCAAAGTTCAAATTGAAGTGTTTCATGCCCCCTGAACAGAATAAAACAGTAGCACTTGATTGATTTGGTTGGTTAGATAAAACAGATCAAAGTAGAAGTTAATATCTTTCTAATACAAAATCCAATGGGAATGTGGTTATAAGCAATCAGGTTCTTTGGAGGGCTGGGGAATAATTCACTACTCTTATTAAGGTATACTGAACTAGGAAAATGCCAGAAGGGAAGTTGCTGTGTTTTGCTTCCAGTTACATAATTAAATCACTCAGCAGATGATGCTGGGGTATAAATGAAATCTGAAAGCCATACTTAGTTTTTCTGGCACATGCACCATCTTCCATTGGAAGTTAATTGGTACATCAGCCAACTAAAATCTGGTGTTCTTGAATCCAGATCCTGGAGAGTTTTACTACTTCTGTGTAGGACTCCCTTGGGATGCCTGATAGAGAACGAGTACCAAGAGCCGTATGGCTCAGCTGAGTTTAATTTGAGTGTAGAGTTTTGTCACCTAGGTTGATTCTGAATTTTGGAAACTCAAAATGAGATAGAACTTAGATTTGTGACACTAAAATTCTACTTAAAACTTTCATCTTTTTCAAGTTGGCAGTAGAAGAAAGTCTTCCTGTGACCCCATTTAGCTTGCTGTTGGGAAAGCACAGACGTCAGCAATCACAAGACAATATAGACCTTGGAAAACTTATTCATAATAAGCACGAGCAAGATTCACCTGCTGTCAAAGAGGTAGGAGTAATTACAGTAAGTGTACAAATAAAATCATGACAAACAAAGGCTTTCATAAAGCTTCTGTTTTATCTTTTCAGCTTTTGCACACTCCAGCACACGTTTTGCCGTCTGCTTCCTTCCTCTGTCCTATATTTATTAATTCATTGCTCATCTCCAAAGGCAACAAAAGGTAAGAGAAATAGAAGAACTCTTCTTAAATTATGTACACCTTTGTTTAAAGCGTAAAAGAAGTTTTCCAACACTCTTCTTCTGTTGACATAAGTTAATATAACACTTTATTGGGGCAAGGTTTTCTTAAAACAACTAAGTTTTTGGGAGATATGTGGACTGACTCTTTTGTTGCTGTTATTTGGCATAATACGCTTGGATGTAAAGTGTTGCCTTTGTTACCCAAATATTCTTTATAAATTTAACTTTATTGCAGGGATTTAATGTTTTTGGTGGTATTTTTGGATAAATGTCAGATTTTCAACTTTATTTGATATTATGGTGACTTCTTGCATAGTTCTTGGTTTTGGTTTCTACATATACCAAGAAGTTAGTCCTTAGGTTTAATCTTAACAGTTCATTTAGAACTCAAATTTAATTCCTAAATAAGCTACAAAATATGAGTGTATACTCTGAACACAGTTAGCTAAGCTTGTCTTTACAATGCATTGATCCCAATTTAGTGGAGTAGTTTGATAGGTACTTCAAGTGTATTGTAGCTTGCTCCTCCCAGATCAATGTATGCCTCTGGAAAGTGAATGCAGGCACAGGGGTTATGACTATAGTCTTGTATTAGGATTAGGTATCTTGTTGCTTACACTGAAGTCAATTAAATGCTTGCAATTTTTGTGCAATCTAGTCTTTAAAGTGTTCAGAGAAACTCTGCCAAGCCAGAGATGAAAGTGGCGTTAGTTTCAGCTGCCATTCTGCATTTGCAAAGACCAGTGAGAGGATGGTTTACACTGCCAGGGCTTACCCAGAAAAAGCCACCAGTTGGAGTAGTTTTGCACGTGCGTTATATTCTGCCGTAACAGCAGCAGAATCAGTTTGCTATGTTGTGTAGCTACTACGCTATTGCTAGCTTTCTAATGGATGACCCAAGTAAAACTTCTTGCCACATCAACAAAACACTGGCAGAAATCTACTACAAGTAATAGATAAAAACTTGCATGTAGTTTCCGTACTGAAGAATTTGAGTTCAGTGGCCTGTGTAAATATTTGCACATGTAGAACTCGTACTTTGACACTGGTAAAAAGTATGACTGCACATTTAAAGTTTTACATAAAAGGGCTGCAGGCCTGGGCTCTTGAAGAATGACAAGAATACGTCACTATAGATTAATTTTCTTATTAATGTTAAAAAATTTTATTTTCCTTGGCAGTATAGTATTAATGTATTACACGTGTTTCACCCTTTACATTTAGTGAGTGATAAATAGTTTTTATTGGAACAGATGACCTATTAGAACGAATGACCGTGCAGGAATGGGATCAAAAATACAATTACCACATTGTGCATGGTAACTGTTCTATATAATTCCTTGGAAGTGTGCTTTCTACTTCAGCACAAGTTTAACTTTTGAAGTCAGAGGGAACAGCTACTGTAAGCATCTCCCTATGTTTAAAAAAACCAAACAAACAACAACAAAAAACCCCACAGCTTTTTTTCTTTTTTAGTGACATTCTAGGTATTGTAGCAATTTTTAAGACCAAGTGACCTTTTTCAGATTTGAAAGAGAAGAATGGCCACCTTGAATACTGTCTTATCTACCAGTGTAACCAATGTTTCTGATCCTGTTGGGGTGTGAGATTATAACTTTTTACATAATGCTGATCTGCCTGTTCTGACATTATGTATTATATTTGGAGAAAAAAAAAAATTGTTTAAATTTACTTAAGAGAACAGCTATTTGAAAAATGGCTTGCTATTGAAATAGCAAGAGAAGTATAGTAGTTTGTGAGTAGCCCGAGACTAAAAAAATACAATCTAAAGTTTACTTAGTTACTTGCATGAATACTTACCTCTGTCCTATAGTATGTGATACTTATAGTATGTTAAAGTGCCAATTAATTTCACTAATTGGGTGGTTTCCATCATGTTCCTCTTACAGTGCTGAAGAAGTTGCTGATGAAGTAGAAATGGAAAGTGAAAAATCAGAGGATGATTCTGATGAGGAAAGAGATGTTACTGAAATGGAACAAGAAGATGCAAGTCCTGTGGAATTATTAGGAGAGACTACTTGTAAACTGTCTAAATCCCAGGAAAAAGAGCTACGAAAAATAAGAAAAATGGACTATAGTTGGATATCAGCTTTCTAAACAGACATCTTGTGGTTTTTATACTGTAAAATGAAACTTTGTGGATTAAATATTCTTCAAAAAAAAATCTTTCAAGTCCTTTGGCCATAAATTTTAACAGCCTCTGTTTCTATAAGAAAGGAGAACTGGGGGAAGGGATTAAAGTTTTGAAAAGCTGGTTCTGCTCCTGGTTTATTACTCACTCTCTGTGACCTTAGAAAACGTTTAACCTGGGGGTTTGGTTGGGCTTTTTTCCCCTTGCAAGTGTATTTAAAAGGCTAAGAGCAAAACTGAGGTTGTTATCTAACTGGTGATCAGTTACCAAAATGACAGCAAAGCTGCTGAGAATCTCCTCCACTGAGGCAACAGCAACAAACAGCTTCAGTCAATAAGACTGCTTAATTCAAGACCTGGTAGGGGAAGTCAGGGTGGTTCTTAGTAGTGCTGTATCCAGGTAACAAGTCTCCTCCTCAGAAGTTCCTCTCTAGCTGGTGAGACAGATGACAAATGGTTTAAATGCCTGATTTCTAGAATCTAGATACCTACAAGTTTGCTGCTGTTCATAGAGACTCTTAGGCATAGGGTATGTACATGTACCAGAGCATAATGAAACCTTTGCAAATACCAAGAAAACTACACCATGGAGAAGGAAATGCGTCTTTTCCTGACAGCCAGCTCAGCAGCCCTCTCACACATCAGGTGCAGTTTCACTATATCACTTACCTGTAGATACTGGAGTGTATAGTTAGTTTGAAGTAGTAAATTTAAAGGCCTGGAGGCCTTTCCCCTGAAAGGATGGGGTTGCCTCACAGTCCACCCAGCCCCTGCACTGCCATGTTGGGAAGAAGGATGTAATCCCTTGCTGTTAGCCATGGCATAGCAATAGAGCTGTTCCTGAACCTTGGCAAGCCCTGCTTACTGATTCTGATCTCCTGAGCTTGTCCTTGTGACAGCCGAGGACAGTGCTATCAGCAAGACCATGTGATCGTTGTTTGTAATTCTCACAGGCAAGAAGCCTCCGGAAATAAAAAGCCTTATATGTATATCTACACTCAGTAAATGAAGCAACACCTACCACAAAAAAAGTTAAAAAATTCCACGCCTGGATAGGGACAGGGTGCTTACTTCAAAGCAGATGGAGGCAAAGCCCCCAGCACACAGCAATCGTTTGTCAACAGCCACTGTGCTAAAAAGGACTATGAAAAGTTGACCAAGAGCTCTGAGCACTGGCTAAATCAAAGTCAAAAATCCGTTTAAAACTCATTATTATAGAAAAGTGTAAAAACTAGTGCACTTTTTTGTTGTGTAAATTTACAACCAGGGATGTCAAAACATGAACATGAGGAATATAAACACAGTGCAATTGACAAAGCTTTGCATAAAAGCCTTACCTAGAATATGTTTTGTGCAGCTTGGATTGAACTGTCCCATGATAGTGCACTACATGCTTTTTATATTTCCTTCTGATCAGATATAAATATGAAAAATAAATAACTTATTGTTACAGCTTCAGACTGAACTGGTGAGGATTAACTTCATTACTCGACAGCAAAGGGCTTCTGCAGCTTCTCATACAATAAAGTTGGGTACCACAGCTCTCCAGAGTATTCATTACTTATAAATGTGAGGGACAACGTTTTCTTCTATCAGGTTACTTACATAAGACTAAATTACTATGACTTTAATACTAAGAAAGTTTTTCATATTTTAAGGATTTTAATTTATTGTTTATAGGCCTTGGTATGACAGAAAAGATTATATATTTTAAAAACAGTTTTTTCAAAATTTGTTTGCCTGAAAGTTCATGATTTCTATAAAGTAGAAAAGGAAAACACACTAATGCTGTCATAACTGGTCAGTTTTCTGCTTTTGTATTTTTCTCCCTTTTTGTAACAGCTGTTTAGATAACCTTCTGGTATACATAGCTGAAAAGAAAAATCACAGCTCCCCAGATACTATGCAATTTTTATTTCCAACCCTCTTATCTACAGATCTAGAACTGATAGAACCTTTTCAGAACCTTGGACCTGATGAATTTTTCCCTAAGTGAAAACTTTCAACAGAACAAATATGGCAAATGCATTAAGACTATAACTGACAAATGACAGGTTTTGAAAACTCAGATTTTTTTAAAATAGGAAGTACAGAAAAAAAAAATAAAAATCAGTAAACAGATTTTTTTGTTTCCCCTCCTCAAAACATGCACTGTATAGGAAAGACACACTGAAAGGTTTTTTCTTAAATAACATCAGATGTCAGCTCTGTGGAAAAACAAGTGCAAGTTGAGTAGGGAGATCTATATGTATGTTGTTTCAAAAACGCTGGCTGCATCAGAGCCTGGTACTGTGTTACTGTGTCAACAACACTTTAAATGCAACTTTGAAGGAAATAAGGAAGTCTCAAGATTTGTTAGTGTGAGGTTTTTTTAAACTTCACATGTTCTTGTGAAAGTAAAGCGTTACTGGAGAATAAATAGGAATGAAGAGGTAACGCAGGTGTGAAAAAGACAATTTAGATGCAATACAGCAACTAAAGATGCAGTTTAGTTTTGTGTTCAGGCAGCAGAGCAGTGTGTTAGCAATCTTCATCAAGAAAGGATATGGTTGTAAGAGTTATGTTTTGTGACCTTTGTCTTTACTAAATTTGTTTTGCTTTGCACACTAGATTGAATGTAGTGGGATAACAAATCTAGTCCTTGCTTTGTAGTTTTGTATGTTTTTTCTACTCAAGCAGGAAATACATTTCTAGTTAGGGTTTTACTACATTTAGAAGGCACATTCTGACCAAACTCTTTGAAAACATCTGAAAGATAGTGCAGTTACAACAACAAGGAATTCAGAGGGAGGGCCATAACTCATCTGCCTGTTTTGGAATGCTTTATTTTTAAAAGTTACCTGCTGTTCCTCCTTTTTTTTATTTTACTTTTTTTTTTTTTTTTTTTTTTTTTTGAAGCTCGTGTATCTCAGTGGCCATGAAAATTCTCCATATTTACTGCGATGCCCTAAGTAAAATCTTATTTTGACTTTTTGGTTTCTACTTCTTCCTTCTAAAGGCTTCTTTGTAAGGATTTTATTATTCTTTATCAGAAAGATTTGACACAAAAGAGCATAGAGAAAGAGACTGAACATAATGTCATGATTTGTGGGTGTCAAGAGGATGGGGCCAGACTCTTTACAGTGGTGGCCAGCGACAGGACAAGGGACAACAGGCACAAGCTGGAACACAGGAGCTTCTGCTTATACATGAGGAAAATCTTTACTGTGAGGGTGCCAGAGCACTGGGACAGGCTGCCCAGAGAGGTTGTGGAATCACCAACCGTCTCTGGAGATGTTCAGAACCCACCTGGATGCTTTCCTGTGCAACCTGCTCTAGATGAACCTGCTTTGGTAGGGGGGCTGGACTAGATGATCTCCTGAGGGTCCCTTTCAACCCCCACCATTCTGGGATGCTGTGATTTGAGTTACATGATAAATACAACAGGTAATAAAATACCTCTGGAACACATAGAGGTCAGTGTTCAATAACGATGGATGCCTCATGCCTCACCACAGGACAGCAATCTTCACAGAAGCAGTCACAGCTTTCTTTAGGCTGAGGGCCAGACCATGCAAGGGAGGGCAGAAGCCTAGAAGGGGAACTGCTTACTGCCCAAATTTTCCACTCAGACAAGTGGTCAGATAAACACAAGGACCCGAAACTTCAGCAGCTATGGAAAGCATTTTAAAAAAGAAATAGATAGGCCAAGCCTTATGAAGTACATCCTGGCAGTGGGATTTGACTGAGATGCTGCTTCCCTGTGACACTGCTCAGCTACTGCTCTAAATGCAGAGGAGAGGCGACCAGTAATTTTAACTCACTGGTTCTAGTCAAGCTTAATTCCACAGAGGCTGAAAATCACTGCTACGCACTGGTATTTTGTGGCCCCACACTGGTTATTAGTAAACAGCAGCTCCAAAACGCACCTTGGTCCTCGGTGGGCAGACTTGGCAGGCAAGTTACGTTAAAGGCTGGTATTACCAACCAGGGGTGGCTGTGGTTTTTTTCAGTTGTTCAAGAATAGGCAGGGAAGAACTACAAATTGTGCAGCTGCTTTAGCATCACCTGGATCTTTGTACTTCACATGTACTCCTGCCTAACAATCATTTGGCTGCCTGACCTTGGGGGAGCCTCTTTCCGATATCTCAATCTGCCAAAGCCCAGTCTGCAATGAGCCTTTTAAAGCATGCAGTAACAGCCAGAATTAGAATCAGCAGAGAACAGGACAGAGGAAAACAACAACAACAACTCAAAATATAACTCAGGCACACTTCAAGAGACCTTCTAGTCCACCCTCCTGCCCTGGAGCAGATTAAATGAGGTATACTTATTCCTGACAGATTATTTGTCTAATTTTGTAAACCTCTGATTAAAGTTGTGCTATGATCTATGTAATCTGTTCAATGCTTACCTATTCCGACAGTCACAGTTTTTCCTAACAAAAGTCATCTTTTTGTCCTGCAAAATTTATATCCTATTCTTCCATGTTTGTTGTAAACTTCTTTGACAATAATCTTTAGGGAAAAAAAAAAAAAACAAAACCGAAAGCATGCTACTATTTCCTTTAAACAAAAAATAACCTCCTTTAACCTTTCATTTTTGCTTTTCTCCAGGCCCTTAGAGGCATGAGAATTCTCCTCCAGACCTTCTTTGGGCTAATTGCTTACAGGTCAAATATTATTATAATTTCAAGGGCAAATTTTGTCAGGGTCATTTAATACTGATAAATGTTTCTGGATAGACCTAAAGCCTCTTCTTTCTCTGTTCTGGCTCGTATCCCTTGTTGATTACCTTTAGTATCTGCCACAGTCTTTTTTGGTGATGGCAGAAGCAAAGGCAGCAGTTCAGACCTCAGCTAACAGTGCAGCATTACACAGCAAACACCACTTCAGGTGCAGAATCTCTGCAGGGCACCATTCTCTGTGGATACACCAGTTCAGATGGAATGGTGAGGGCATTAGTTTTGGCCTCTGCACAGCATTTCT